CCAATCTGTTTGTTGCTTTTTCCCCTTACTTTACTTTGCACATGATCAAGCTCATACTGTTTATTTACTTGAGCTCTTATCAGTAATAAGAGTGTGATAACTTATCACACTCTTCTAATACGGTTAAATCTTAGTCAATTTTGTCACTCTTACCATCTTTTAATCGATAACTTATAATCTTGAACGATGAGACATGCTTTTGAACAGTACATAACTAATTCTTGTGTATATGAACAGTGTGCATTTGAGTTGATCGTAACATTTACTGTAAGATTTGATGAATAATTTAATTGAAATGAACAATAATCATCTATTCGACTATTATTCTGATAAGTTTTTATTTGTGCATTTCTAATACTTAATATTGTGTAAGACGAGCCAAGCAGGTAACATAAAAGAGCTAATGATAGAGAGCCAAAACGAGACAGAATACCTCCTGACATTGTATCATTTATCCAATAAGGATAAGGGTCTGACGTTGAAGATAATGATGAACATTTTACACGTAAATCAACTAATAATATGTCACCTAAAATAAAAGAGTAAAACTAGTTTCAAAGGTAGTATATATAATGAACATTGGAACTACGACTGACATTGATTCTTATAATCTAGTCTCATTTTCTCAAATCAAATTTAATGTGTATACTTACCAATATTCTCTTTATCATCTTGTAACATTCGTTTTAATTTGATATATGTTGGCAAGAAGGCAAACAAATAACAGAAACAATTGAGAGTTGTTTTATTTAACGTTGATTTTTGTATTATTTGTGATAGTTCTCGTGTATCCAGAGTAAATGGTGATAGAAAAACGAAATGATGTTTTTGTTCAATTATTTTTGATATTAATGATAAATGCTGATCGGGTTCAACACATACCCATACAAGAAGAGGTTGTGATGATGTACTGAGAATTTGTTCAAGAGAATATGTTGAACACGAATAAGAATCAAGTTTCAATTGATCTTGAACTAATTTTTTTGTAAGAGATGTAAAACGTTTTGGTGACCATAAATGAATAACCTGGAAACCAAATTGACGTAAAAGTGGAACACATATTTCAATGATAGGTAATGTTCCAAGAATAACTACAGGTGGTGGACCAGGCATTCGCAAAGGGAATCTAAAATTGAAATAATAAATCGAGAATTAAAAGTCTGAAAGATGTAGATGTAATGACAGTTCAAGCAAATTGATTATTTCCATACATCTTCAAAGTATGTCGAAACTACAGATATTTTTCATTCACCACATATCTCTAAGATATGTTCAAAATGACTTTAACATAGTTCAAAAAAGTTTATTTTATTCAAATTTGTTTTTAACTATACATATTCCTGCAACGAAAACAATAAAAAAGAAAAAGAATGAATAAAAGCACAAAATTACTAAACAATAAGTACGAGCAAAAATTTTGAAGAAAAATTAATATCACCGCATAAAAATACTTTTTAAGAAAATTCCGATTAGCTCAATGCACATAAATTAAATTAATGGCTTAACTCAATTATAGGAGAAAAATATGGTGACAAACCACTCAGGCACTGTAAAGAGGCCGTTTGCTTTTCGCAACTTAAAACAATTACAATATTGAATATTTGGAAGAAGAGCCCCGTTTTGATTCATTATATTCAAATTGTCATCAAAATTGTATTACTGAATGCATTATATTATTGAATTTTTACACTAATAGTGTAAAAAAAAATCTGTTGTAAAAATTTATAAATAAAAAACGATCATACAAAATCTTTTCGGCACTTAGTAGTTTTCTAATAGTATGTCCAGATTAAAATTATCGATAAAAAATTTAAGGTTTTCCATTATACTTTTAGAAGATAAAAAATATCAAGGAGATATTCAGTGTCTTGAAATAAAATATGTGTGTGAATGGTACTCATCACTATTCAGATCTATTCAATAGAAAAGAAAATAGATTCTAATTAAACATGAAAATATTTGTTTTAAAAACACAAGACAACTTGAAAAATTAAATTTTTATTCAAATTTTGCTCTTCATAACTCATTTTTAACTGTATGTTATAGCTGATATTAAACTGTTAAAATATGGAGAAATTCTAGGGAAAATAACCAACTTCAGAATATTTCTTATCATTTTGTAAACAAAAATGACTTAGTTGACTTACTTTTTAAAGCGTTATTGAGTAAAATGATAATAAAAGTATATTTTCTTCGCCTCTTTATGAAAATTCTCTTAAGGCACGGTACGCTAGATATTTGCTAATCGTTGTAAGTATCGTCATTACTTCAGATTTACAGCTAGGTAAAGCTGTCAAAAAGTCTAAAAGAAAATGTCTCATCAATTTGCGCACGAATTAGCGAAAAAAAATTCAATGTGAATTGCATTAATCATATCCTGAAATGACCGCTGTTATGTATCATTTAGAACCTTGTGCGGACAAAACAAGGTAAAGAAATAAGAAATACACAAAAATGCTAAACAAAGAAGGACAAATTACTTTTGAATTTTAGTGTCAAGAATGAAAACAACAACAGATGACAACAGCTATCTGAAATAAGAAAAACAACCTTATTCTATTTACATAGTAAAAAACAAGAATACATACCAAAGGTTTTGGAAGAGCGAAGAAATAAATAGAAAGAGTATCAGCTCATTCAAAAATTTAAAAAAAAGGATAAAATCAAAAAAAAAATACACTGTTTCTGTTTGAGAGAGAGAGAGAGAGAGAGAGAGAGAGAGAGAGAGAGAAAGAGAAAGAGAGAGAAAAAATATTTTTAAAAAAAGACACACGAGAAAGAGAGACTAGTTGTTATTTATGCATTTATTATATTTCACACAAAATTGCATTATTAATAGAAAAAGAACAAACTTCACAGATTTTTTTTTCTAATAGACCCATGATACAGGTACCCATTGTGGTTGTTGATTAATTCTTTCGATTGAATCTTGTAATGTCCGAATGGTCTCTTCGATATCATTGTTTAGAATAATCAAATCAAAATAATGACCGTAAGCTTGATGTAATAATTCGCTTTCTTTAACTAAACGTTCTAAACTGTCATCCTAAAATGTATACAAAAAATAAAATGCAAAATTATGGTTTGAATTACCCATGTAAAAAGTCAAACAGGTTCTATGCACATAGTTTTGCATAATTTTTTACAAATAACCATGCATAATTCACAGGACTCTATGCGTGGTTAGGTATAGGACTCTTTTTATCCAGAAGAAAATCATTCTATGCATAATGCAAACTAGATCGTAAGAGCAATTTATGCATAATTAAACTGTTTTATTACGCAAAACTATGTGCATTGAATCTATTTGATTTTTTACATGGGTAAAAACTTAGAAGAGAATCAAATAATTTTTTCAGTCAGATCAAATCATCACCATATGAACATGAATTACACTAAGAAAACAACTTATTTTGTCTTTCCAATGTGTTAGACTACTTTGTTTTCATATCTGTTTGAACAGATAAATGAAAATGAACAACGATTCGTATAAAAACTAATATTAACCTCTTTGATGTCTTTGATTTGTGAGAGATCCGGTGCAGCAATGAATACAACAAACGGTGCAAATTCTGCTGTTCGTAACACTTTGAGGGCCTAAAATAAAAGATAGAGAAAATAATATTGGTAATAACAGTTTTTTGTAGACAATATTTGGCTTACCTGTGGTTCCACATCAAGAATAGCCATTAATCCTTGTCGATGTATATTTCTAATTGTTTCTAATTTTGTTCCATACATAGCATCTTCATGCGTTCCATATTCCAAATATTCATTGTTTGCTATATCACGCATCATTTCTTCATGAGTAACAAAATAATAATTTTTCCCATTTTCTTCGTCTTTTTTCGGTAAACGCGTAGTATCTATATCAGCAAAATAGAAAAGAAAAAAAAAAAAAAGAAAAAATATGATCAACCAATATTTTCACTAGCGAAAAGTCTTTACATACAACATAAACAAGTTCTGAAAAGTAAATCAACCGTTTTTTTGTCAAATTTTTTTTCAATCAATGCTCAAACAGTTCAAGATGCTCTGTATCCTGTCTCTCTGCTCATTTTGAAGATTTTAACAAAAAACATTCTATCTATACAACAATATAAAACTTAATTGACTAAGACATTCAAATATCCCTCTGGAATAAAATAATAGTAGTCGATCTTTTTAATATATCATCACTATAAAAATACATTTTTAAAAACATAATTATATATTCTGAAAGCGCTCGGAGTTCTCTATACCCCTGTATATTTATGTCTTGTCTTGCATTTATTTGCTGAAAAATAAATTGAGTGCAATGACGGCCCCCTCATAGTCAGATTCTCAGAAATTGTAATGGATATGGCTTCTTAGTATTTTCTATTTTTCTCGTGTTTCTTTAGGACCCAAAGGTTAATGTTTTTTTGTAAAAAGATGCGCCGCGAAATGCTCTACAAAACCATATCTAAACTTTAATTTTAGAGCTTCAATCAAGAAAACCACGCAGATTATACAAAAGACGAAAACAATGAAAACTTTGAAAATCTATTCTTTTTTCCACTTGAACCTTTTTTTTTTGTTAATATTTCCGTAAAAAAAGGGTTGCAAAAGTGAGAAGTCAGTTCTTTTTGTCCTTCTGAATGTGCTCAGTTTAAAAAAAACTCGATTTTTGTCAGATTTTGGAGTTCTTCTCCAAAAAGAAACATTACCGCCAAATTCACCGTGATTAATTACGTATGTTTCATGCCCTTTCAAGGTTCAAATCCGATGCCACGCCTCAACCATTAAAAATCGAGGGCTCACTTTATCTTTCTCGTCATCTGTAAAAAAGTCTTTTAGAACAGATGATGTGGAAAAAACTAAAAAGGTAGCGAAAAAATGCAGCTTTCTAGTACTTGTGAATTGGGGGTACCTTCGCTGTAGTCAAACTATTTTTCAGTAGATAAATGCAAGACAATACATAACTATACAAGGTGATAGAGGTCTCTGAGCGCTTTCAGAATATATAATTATGTTTTTAAAAATGTATTTTTATAGTGATGATATATTAAAAAGATCGACTACAACTATTTTTTTTCCAGGGGGATATATTAACTTACGAGGTATTGGATAAGCAAATCTTTTTGGTTGACTAGTTATTAATGTATTTTTAATATGACGTCTTCCAACACCATGTGCACCTATAAAAATGGATACACGCATGAAGAGTTCGACTGAGGTGACTAATAATTAATAATTACCTAACAACACAAGCGTTTTTCTTCTAAATTCTGGTAGTCTAATCACTTCTTCATACGTTACAAGATCTAGCTGATCAAATACAGCGTTATGTTTAGCCAAATATTTATCTTTATAAACTTTACGTTTTCGTCCAAATACACCACAATTAGCTAAATTGAAAATAAAAAGATAAAGGATTTTATTTTCCTTATATTAATTAGTTATACTTTCATACCGCTTCCATCTTTTGCTTTTTCAATGGCATGTGTTGCTATTCTCCACTCTTGAAGTTCAGGGGACGGTATTAATCCGGCCGGTCCAACATTATTTGTATTTGATAAAATATCGAGTAATTTTCTCGCTTGCCACCAATTGTGATCATCTTTTGATATAATCTGTAGAATATCTCCAATTTGAAATTTAATACCGGCTTGAGAACATGGAATGATTTCATCATCTTTTGGATCGTAATTAAATAATACTTTAACATAAATCTATACAGATGAAACACTTATAACATAGATATATCGAAAGTATAATATCAATTTTCTTACATCACATGGTGGTGGTTGACTACGATAACTTGGAACAATTTTGAATGTAATACTGCCACGTGCGTCACGCTAAAGAAAATGAGTAAAATGTTACTAAATAATCAAACAGAAGAATTTCAGAGCAAATACGGGGTGGCCCAGATTAAATGGCACTCTTAGTATTTCCTTTATGTTATGTTATGTTCCCAACTCTTAAGTATTTTTTCATTAGATGCGTGTCGTCAGCTCCTACTCTACAAAAACATAAGGAACATATATTTGTAGAGCTTCAAAAGCTCTATCAGCTGGCTATATTTAAAATTCTTTATAATCACAAACGATCGAAGAGAATCTTTTTTTCTTTTGACGATTTTGCCAAAACTCATCATTTCTAAACTGCAGTTGTAGACCACTTATGAAAACTTTTATAACCCAGTCAAAATTAAACATTGTGAGGTCGGATTTGTTTTATTTTAAAGCAAAAGAATTTTTCTGCTGTATTCGAATAGAGAAAGTTCAATAGCTCGATTTCTTTAAGGCAAACGACAAATTTTCACTTTTTTTTGGTAAGCTTTAATAAAATCGCATTTTGTATCGCAAGGATAGATTCAAATCGAATCTCTGATAACGAAAAGAAAGGCAACACTTCGAAGCACCAGAACATCAATTTTGATTTGACTTTCATGTAAGCCATCGTGTTGATGGGAAGCTTTTCTTTCGTTGTGTTTTAGGTTACAAAGTAATGGAGATTGAAGTTTCACAGTACTTTCTCTAATTTTTCATTTTTGAGCTCTATAAACATGTTTTTGTAGAGCAGCAGCTGGTGACAGATCTAATGAAAAAATACTTATGAGTTGGGAACATAACATAACATAAAGGAAATACTGAGAGCGCCATTTAATCTAGGACACCTGATATTATACTACGCAGCAAAAAGAGAAATAGATGAAAGAAAATCTTGCTCGTATGTATGAAAAAGTTGTGTATTGAAATTATTTAAAAGAATTATCTGTTAACATCCAAGATTCAAACTCTCGACGAATTATTAGACATTCCTTAATGTTCAGCAGGAATCTAACTAACCCTCCACCATACTACTGACAGAGATGGGCAACTCCAGTAGGAATTGAATGTGACAATTTCGGAGTTGAGCGGATTTTTAGTGGAGTTATGCAAAATTTATCGGAGTTAGACTGTGTATTTGAGCAATATCGATGCTAACACAAATAAAAGTTCAATGGTTTCTATGAAGTTATACCAAGAATTATAGTAGTTGCTAATAGAGTTGAAATCGGAGCTGCCCGTCTCTCACTACTGAAACAAATTGTCTCTTTTTATCAGTTAAATTAACTACTTAACCAAGTGGTATAGATAAATAATAAAGTAGAATTCGATTTTGAAAAGTGTAGTGCTAGGCTAATTAGCAATAAAAATAGAATTATAAATGACAAATCAACATTGTTTTAGTAGGAAGAGCGTTATTTTCTTAAAAATACATGTGCTTTAATATATAATAGCAAGCAAAAAAATGATGATCGGCCTATGTGGAAGCTTTAACTTTTTATTTTCGTTATTACTCTCACCATACGTTTCTATTTTGAATCACAACTACCAAAACTAAAGTTAAGAGATACGAATAATGCAACAAGCAGGTATGAGCAAACAATATAAACAATAACAACAAAAAGACAATATCAAATGGTGAACATACCAGCATTTGTTGTAAATGTTGAATAGGATGATCCGACACAGGTTTAGCATTAATTTCTTTAATTTCATCACCCACATGCAATGTCCCTTGACGATGAATCATACCACCGTGCATTATACGAGCCACTAAACAACGTTTATTTTCTGTCATTCGTAATGTTATACCCTAAAAACCATAAAAATAGAGTTACATTAAATAGATAAACATTTTTATAGAAAGAATAATTGAACATCAATCTTATATTTGATATTTTATTGAAAATGAATCTATGAGAAAACAATTTAATAACGACTAAAAAAATGATGCTATTCTCAATATTTAAAAATTTTACACACTAAATCATTAACTACTCACCATGGGTTCGTCCGTATTACGTTGAAATTGTACGAGTCTAACACGTGTTACATCGCATGCTGAATCAGGTTGTACATCAATACCGCCTGTGCCATTTCCGTTTAAATCTTCTGATCCATCGTTAAATTGAGAATTTCCTCCTAGAGGTGGAGTTACACGAATTGCTTCGTCACCATAAACTTCTTGAGCAACAACATCATGAACTTGTAATAATGCCTAAAACAATAAAAGAAAAAGAAAAATATAAGAATTTTATTTACAATATATTATAATTTTTTTCAAAAAAGACTTTCAAATTAACTATTTATATCTATTTTAAAAGTCTAATTACTAGAATATCGAACATCAAAGTGAATGATGGAAATATTAAAGAAATAACAAATGGCTAAAATAAGATCTTTTTTGTTAATCTAAATATATATATATATATAGATATATCGATATAGATATGCAATATCAAAATTGGCTTAAAAAATTTTGTTGATACAAACCAACAATTCTAATTCAAGTAAAATACATCGATCCAAAGTATCTATTGTGTTTACTGTCGACATACAACATACTCATCCTATATGAGACGTATGTGTCGTTATTAATCTGATCCTAAAAAGACTACAGCTTTGTTGTACAAAAAAGAATAACGACATAATAATAATAATAGTAATAATAATAATAATAATAATCATAATAATAATAATAATAATAATAATAATAATAATAATAATAATCATAATCTAGTACTAACTCTTCAACTACTAAATATAGAACAATACAGAAAAAAAGGGGGCGCAAACATCAAAATTAGTGTCTAAAGGATATATAGATGCGTTGAAAATATAATCAACAGAAGCAAAAAAAAAAAGAGAACATATTCTTGTAGTGATAGAAATGAAAGATGTTGTTGAACTTTTTTTTTTCATTTCAATAAAAATAATATTTCTTTTATGATTAGTATAAAAATTAGCATTTTCTGTTTTCTTTTATTTTTGTATTTTTTTATTCTTAAAGTTATCGAATAAAACATAAATATATATACTAGAGTTGATCAATTCTAATAGAATCTTGTACAGTGATGACAACATCTGTTTAACTTATAGACACGGACATATGTGCGTGTGTTGTTAATGAAGTCATTGACAATTGAAAAGATATGGATTATTATTACATACAAACATGTCAGAAGAAAAAAAAATATATATAGCCGAATGTGCTAAACTGTCAATCAATACAATCTTCCAATTAATTATCATAAAAAAATGATTATCTCGAACATTTAACATTTATTCATTATTCATCTATTTCTCTTGTAAATAATTCGTTTTTCATACGTCATCTGATTAGAATGTTTCCTTACTCAAATTAAAGTATACAGAATCTATTGTCAGTCTCTTTATTGTAACAATTATCAACTTTAAAATAGTATGTACAATTGTGTGATTTGTAATCAACTAATTATCAAAAATAAAAAAAAATGTTTTTATCAAAATAAATCGTCTATAAGAACATATGATCGCGTTTGTAGGATAATAAAAATGAAAAAAAAATGTTCTATTTTCTATATACAAGAATTAGTTGTTATTTTACTTAACAATTTTTTTTGTCAAAAGTATGTGTTTATATATCTCAAGATACACACACAATATAAATATTTAATAAATCAAAAAAAAAATACACTGTTTCTGTTTGAGAGAGAGAGAGAGAGAGAGAGAGAGAGAGAGAGAGAGAT